TTAGCAGACTTGTAGCATGCCTCAATTAGGAAGCTTAATGGTGGTGTAGAGAGAATGAGCATTGACAAGGATGGCAGTCAAGGATGGCACTGGAGTTCGAGATTGGGGTAGAAACGATGACTTAAAAATGAGGATAAGAGGACATGTGTACTGAATGGTGAGACTGGGGTGGTCACAGGGCAGTCAATAGAACTATTTAGCGAGGCGGTGTGGTATGGCTGTAATGCTGGCATAAGAAGGTGTTCACTGCTGAGATGGGGAATGGAGTGGGTAGATGAGCTGTGCAGGGTTGGTAGGAGCCCGTGACCCTTGCTGTGCTCATTTTGCAACCATTACTTGTAGCAAGTTATCAGGGATTCCAATCTAGGGGAGGATAAGAGATGAAGGAATATAGGGAGACGGCTGGAAATCCTGGTTAAATAAGATACTGAAACATCTGCAGTTGGTATTCTGAAATCTGAGTGGAAAGATTAGACTGTTGTATATTAGCCCATGAGGTTAAAGTGCAGTGCTCCACTGTTGGGACTTCTGTTTGCCCTTTAGTACTACATATACTTTGGTCTTGATGTACAAATAGTTTTCATCTGTCGATGTTGCCAATCTTTTGCTAAATGAGTTAGTATTACCTCTGTGTAAGAAATGGTGAAATCAGTACCCAAGTAAATTTGGTGGCTTGCCTTGGTGTGAAACTGATCTCATTGTATCAGCACTAACGGAGAATTTGCCATTAATTTTGAGCAGAAATAAGCTGTATACCTGAATAGAATATGTACATAATAAGGTTCTGCGCAAGATGCAATATCCTCTTTTATACCGTGCTGTGTCCCATGAGTCTTCCCCCTTCTCCCTTTGGGAGCACTTCTCATTAGCTGAATTCTCCAAATACTCAGACTCTTGACTTTGCAAGTGAAGATAAATGTGACAGACCTCTGTGCTAGTTGGTAAGGAGACATGTTGATTCACAAAGCATATGGAGTAAATTCAGATGAGTGGCATGATGGCTTACTAATTTAGTTTGGGTTACAAACAAAAATGGCCATGAGATAAGAGCTGTGCACACTGATGGTCTGCTGACTCTGAGTGCTGGGGCGGTCAGAGGGCACAGCTGGCAGTGTGGCTCTGCTGCCCCAGCCCTTATCTGCCTGCTGCAATCCAGCTGCTGGCGGGTCCTTCTGCAAATATGCAAGAATGCGAAAGAGCAGCTCGCTGGGTTGGGGAGGGGAGGCTGTCGGCAAAAGGAGGTCTGAGTGAGTTATGGCAGGAATGGCTCAATGGCTTGTTTGAGAGAATGGGTGAGATGTGTTTTGGCTTTGTGCTCTGAGAACTAAGTGGTCTCTCGTCTAAAATTTTTGCAGATGGCAGAGATTGAAAAAGGTAACCGATACCTCAGAAAATAGCAAAGAAATGCGATGGAACCTAGTAATGATCCCAGCTAAGCAGGGTGAACACTAAGCAGGCCTGTAAGGTCTTGGGGCAGCTGTCCTGACTTTTCTAAGTAAAACTGCTAAAATGCTTTTCCTCTTGGCTTAGGAACGACTTGCATGTAGGCTCTGTACGCATTCCTGTGATTCTAACACACACTGTGCATTTGAGCAACGGGCCTTTTCTGTATTGACAGGAAAATTAATTTACAAGTATGCTAAATCTGCAAGCCTCGCTTACTCAGGGAGGAAAACGCTTGGTTTTTGTGGCTCAGGTACAATTTCTGGTACCTGTTTTGGAGGTGCTTTAGTGCTGTGACGCTCAGAAGCTGCGAGATCTAATGCGCAGTACGCAGGAGGTTGCAGCGCAACTGGCACCATCTGTACTGGGCAGCTGCTTTTTCGTGTTAGATTGTTAGGTCACTTCCCTTGGTCTAAGAGAGGCTTGCTAAGGTTGGTTTTGTTAATCGAGTTTGATACTAGTTATGTCAAGATAACTTCACTGGGACGAAATCGGGCCTAATTTTAGAGCACAGTTCTATGGGCCGCGGGAATCAACTGTGCTGCTTCGGTTCCTTTTCCGCGGAAGTAGCGGTGGGCTCGCAGCCAGGGCCGTGCGGCTGTGCCAAGGTGGAACCGAGCAGGGCCGCAGCTCGGAGACCGCCGTCCGAGGACCGTACCGGCCGCGTTTGCAGACAGGCGCAGCACCGGGGGCTCGGGGGCTCTGCCGTCCTCCGCAGGAGTCGGCCGCCGGCTGGGAGCGGGCCGGCGCTGATGGACGGGACCGAGGGGCAGCCCGCCCGTGCCCGCGCTTGCGGCTCGGCGCCCGCCGGCCGCTCGAGGCCGCGGCGCCGCTCGGGGTTCAGCCGCGTGGCTCCCGGCAGACGTACCCCGGGCCCCGCTCCGCCCGCCGGGGCCGTGGCCCCTCGCGCAGCCGCCGCCGGCAGCGCGGTGGAGCGGCCCCCGATCCGGCACTGAGCACAGGCTCCGCGCCTCTCCGCCGCGTCCCGCCCCCGCCCGCAGCGCCGCCCGCCCTCCCCCCGCTGGGGCCCTCCCTCCTTTCCTCCCTCCCTTCCACGGCTCTCCCGGCGCGGTGGCCCGGCCCACGTTTTCCCTCTCTCCCCTCCTCCCTGGTCATGTGTCGCCTTTTTTGTTTGCGGTGGAAACAATTTCTCGCTCTTCGGCTCGCGCCGGGCGGACCGCTGCCCGGCGGCGCGGGGTGGGGGGCGGTGCGGCCGAGCCCATGCAGGCGGCGGAGCGCCCCGAGCCGGGACCCCCGCGGCGCGCTCGGGGCTCGGGCTGAGGCGGGGCGCACCATGCCCGCCTCCGTCAGATGAAAGTTTGCGCCGCAGCCATGGAAGGACCGCGCTGAGGCCGCCCCCCGCCAGGTGAGCCCCGGCCGCCGCCGCCCGCGGGGCCCCGCCGCAACTTGGCCGGGAGTTGGCGCGCGCGCCGCCGTGACCCTGCAGCCGGGTCGGACCGTGGGGCCCCGCTCCGGGCTGCCCGGGTGGGACTCGGGGTGCCGGCGCGCGGCCGAGGGCCCGTCCTGAGCGACGCGCCGGGCGCGGGCAGAAGTTGCCGTCCCGACGCGGGGCGGAGGGCCGCTGACATCTGGCCAGCATTGGAGGTATGCGCGCCGCCGGCCTCCCCCGCCCGCCCTTGAGCAGCGCCGGTCGCCTAGCAACGGCATTGATTGGCTGCGTCTCCGGCCAATGGGCGGGCGCCCCCCGCCCGGGCGGCGAGTGCGGTGGGAGCGGTGCGCGGGGGCCGCCCCCTCCCCCCTCCTTCCCCCGCGTCGTCTCAGCGGCCGCCGCGCAACCCCGGCGCCGCGCGGGGCCCCGGCTGCGGGAGGCTGCGCGCACCCCGCCGAGCGCCCGCGGTTGGCGGCGGGTTAAAAATGCTCGCTCCGTCGCGGGCCCCCCTGTGAGCGCCGCTCCTTTGTCTGGTGGCGGGGAGAGGCGGCCGCCGAATTCCTTCTCGTGTCCGTGTTCGCGTCCTTTCCCAGGGCCGAGCCAGCCCTCCGGGAAATGCGGCCCCGCCGCCCCCCGGGCCGGGTACCGAGTGCCGCCGCGGTGCTCGAGGCTTCGGCCCCGCCGGGCTGCTCCCGTCCGGGAACGGGAGGGCGGGCGCGGGGCGGCCCTCCGGGGGGCGCCGAAATAAGCGAATTAAACAGAAAGAGAGCAGCGTGTTGTCATGGTGACGGCGCAATTACATTACTTTACTGTCAGCCGTCGCGTAATTCCCTGTTCCGAAGCTCCTGGGACGCAACTTCCATCCGGAGCCGAAGTTGCGCTGCGCCGCAGGGCAGTGCCCGCCCGGGGCCGGCGGAGCTCCGGCGCAGGTCGTTTCCTCCGGCAGTCGCGGCCCAGCGGGCGGCCGTGTGGCGGCTGTACCTCTGCCGTGCCTTTCTGCTTCGGTAATGGCCGCGTCGATTGGAAGTATATGGAGGAAGACCTGAAGAACTTCCCTTTTTCACTTTTCTGTAATCTTTAAAAGAAGTCCGTTGATTTTCTTTCCCAGAATGGCTCTCCTCCCATTTTTCCTGATAGATGCACTGCTTGTTTTGCTGCCGCCTGTGCTTTTTGCCCCTTAGTACGGTATCGAGTGTGACTGTAGGAATTGTGTCAGTGGTCCCCTGGATGCAGGGGATCCCTGCACTGGTGCAGGAGACTGCCTGCTGTTGAAATGCATTGATCCTCACCAGTGTTTATTTCGCAGCTGGCCGTGCCCCCAGTCCTCAGTCCTGGCACTTTTACTGCATGGCAGAGGCAGGGAAGCTGTGCTGCTCCTGCAGTGCTGCTGCTGCTCACACGCTGCTCCCATCTCCATCCTCCCTGGCTGCCTGGGTCCCCCCATCCTTGTCAGCTCAATCTGCGCTCAGCTCCCAGCACCTCCTGCCTGCCTTGGGCCATGGCTGAGGGCAGCTCAGTGCAGGTTAAAGCCCTCTCTGTTTACATACACTTTTAAAGTGCTCTATTCCTCTGGCGCTTGTTTCCCTGTGTATTGGCCCTGGTCCCAAAGCTACTGTGTGCTGCTTTCTCTCCCTCCTGTTCTGCTTTGCAAGTTCTGCTGCAGCAGTGCCTGTAGTTGGATTTGGTGCCTGTCTGCGCGAGCCCTCAGCCAGTGCCTTTATTACAGAGCTGTTGTGTTGCCCTCAAGACTGAAACAGCTGAACTTAATCTGAAGCAACTGCACCTAAGCCCTCTTTTTTTTTTTTAAATTTAAACTTACATGCTTATTAAAGTGATATGATCGGAGTATTCAATGATTTGATACACATATTCATTATTAAAGGAGTGTGTCCCTGGGATTTCCTGTGTAAGGCTTCAAGTACAGAGAGAACTGAGGCATATTGGCATTATCATATCATTCCATGTATTGAAAGTTCTTTACTTGCCTTGACTTCAGGTTATTCTACCCAGAGTTTGGGAGTGAGCTTTAACGTGGGTCTGTTGTTTTTAAAACAGATGGCACGAGGCCAAGCAGCTGGTGGGGAAAAGCTGTCAAAATGTTATGCGGTACCTTTACCAGCTAATAACTTTTTTTCTGTTTCTTTTCCCCCCGGTGTGGGACTCTCAGGAGCCTCTGCCTCAATGGGTCCAGTCATGCCGCCCAGCAAGAAGCCGGAGGGCTCAGGAATCAGCGTTCCCAGCGGCCTGAGCCAGCGGTACCAAGACAGCGATTTGTCAAAGGCACTTCACGATGACGAGGACCTAGATTTCTCTTTGCCTGCCATCAGATTAGATAAAGGGGCCATGGAAGATGAAGAACTAACTAACTTGAACTGGTTACACGAGAGCAAGAACTTGCTGAAGAGCTTTGGGGACTCGGTGTTACGAAGCGTCAGCCCCGTTCAGGACATTGGTGATGACACGCCTCCGTCCCCCGCCCATTCGGACATGCCCTACGATGCCAAGCAGAACCCCAACTGCAAACCTCCTTACTCCTTTAGCTGCCTCATATTTATGGCCATCGAGGACTCGCCAACCAAAAGACTGCCTGTAAAGGATATATACAACTGGATTTTAGAACACTTTCCGTATTTTGCAAACGCTCCTACTGGATGGAAAAATTCTGTAAGGCATAATCTGTCCTTGAATAAGTGTTTTAAGAAAGTGGACAAAGACAGAAGTCAGGTAAGTTTGCAACTGTGGAGGCCTGTGTGTGATAAAACTCACCGGCTTATCCCAGAACGTATTCATAACTGTAAAATGTAGAATACACAGCGCTGTCCCTGGTAACGCAGTTCATTACATTCAGAAAACCAGCATTTCTTTAGCATGGCTCATTCTGATTTTATTAAATTCATTGTCTAGACATCAGCAAGAAAGCAGTCGGTGTGTGTGTTTTCTTTGCTCCCCAGCTGGTGTCTTCATGCATAGTGGTTAAATATTGTTTTTAGTTACCGTGCTGTGGTAATGGTTTCCAGCTCTACTAGATGAATGTAATCATGTTATAAATAGGCTGCTTGCTGTTCTTGGCTTATACAAACATATAGTGAAAGGGTATGCCTTACGTAAGAGGCCATCTCTTTTTTCCCCGATCTGTGTTGTACTCAGAAAAGAGGGTTTTTTTCTTTATTTTCTTAAATGAGTAGAAATAGTACTGAATTGTAAGGGCGAAGCTTCATTCTCTTACAAGTAGAAACAGCAACTCTTCAAACAGAGCAGATAGGTCTGGCATCAGAGGTGAAAGTTACCAGAAACTCAGCCATTCTGTCTCTGGAGTTTTGCCGCTTCTGAGAACAGTGCAGTGGCAGAAGTCTGGGGAGCAGATTGTTGCTTTCAGATCTCTGCTGTTGCTGTCTGGTTTCATTGCTGAATCCTCAGCTGCATCTGCAGGAAGAGGCTGTGTGCGAGGGAATGGGGAAACGAGCCGCGCCGCGGAGGCAGGACTTTGCATAACCTTCTATTGCATAAACCAGACTGGGAGCAGATAGCATTTTCTGGAGGGGGCGGGCTCCAGAACCTGCGATCTGGGATGAATCTTTGGCAAAGTATGAGCATACTGATAAAAATACCAGCCTGCAGATTAATTTCACAGTCCTTCCCACAGGTTGGTGAACTAAATAGCAGGTAGAATCACGTCGCTGGCTGAAGATCAAAAAGGGAGCACTTTTTTTTCTGGCAGAAATAATAGATGCTCTCAGCTGCTGTATTTCAGTTAAGTTAGTGCTGTGATAGTCTTGTAACTGGTTACCCTGGAGCGAGACTTCTGTTGGTGGTGCTGTTCTCCATAGTTTGGGTGCGATTTAACTTTAAATACTCTGGAGTAGAAGGTATTTTCTGGATGAAGAGTCTTACATTACCCTAAGCTAACAACTTTTTATTTAAGATTACTTAATTTGCTTTTCCTTAAGGCTTTACTTTCTTAAATTACTGGTTTCTTACTATTTTTTTTTTTCAATGTCATTCCTTGAAATCCACTGTCCACGTATTGGAGACCACATGCTGTATGTTGGTATTTTTATAAATTCGTTGCTGTGAACGATTGTGTACGAGATTAAAAAACCTGTTCCTGAACTGGATCTTGTTTCATGTAAGCCAGAGCCTCAAATTCTTGTTTGGAAGCAAGACTATAATAGCAAGGGCCACACCAACCTTTTATGATCCTGTCCCAGGCCATAAGAAACCTTAACACACAGCACATGTTAAAAAAAATGACCAGTGCCGTAACTGGCAAGGCATGTGTTTAGTGCCGCCATTTGTTCTATCCCCTTCCTTTGTTTACAAGCTGACTATTTAAATGACCGTTTCCTTCCTATGAGGAACCTGTCTTCATGCATATCTGTCGAATATCCGCAGCCTTCTAAGATCACAAGAGCCATACCATGAAGCACTTCTCCATGGGGAAGGGGAGAAGCACAGTAGATGAGTAGTCACCTATGTCTTGAATTCCTGATTACAGCCGTGGTTGAACAGCAAGACAATAAGGTGTGGGGAAAGCCCTTGCCTGTGGAAGTAGCAAGGTGGGGTTTTAGACTTCCCTAGAAAAGCATAGGATGTGAAAAATAATTCCTTCCATCTTTTCATGCTCCTGAGCCCTTAATAACTATGCAGTCACCCTGCTGGTAGCCAGCATTAAGGTAACTGAGAAGAGAATCTGAAACTTAAAATGCACAAAGTCAGGTCGCTTAACTCACGTCCTGGCCAAGGGACGTGGCAGGTGGGGACGGGAGTGCAGAGCTGGCACTGGGAGCGGGTTGCTGAATCAGGTGGCTGACAGCTAATTGTGGACTTGGAAAGCACTAACCTCCAACTGCTGGCTTTGAAAGACATTCATGTGCTCTCACACACCTCCAGAGTTAGTTCGAGTGCCTCAGAGCAAGCAGCTCTGTTGCTGACAGCAGCCTGCAAATCTCATAGGGTTCCTTGGACCTCGGGGTTGGGTTAACTCTCCATTACAGGGAATCATCTCATGCCACTTCTTCCAGTTTGTTGCCACATTCTGCAAGTTACAGGTTTAGAGTGTGCTTGTCTTACTGTTTGTATGTGACAAAAAACATTTGGCAAATGGCATCTCGGAAATCCTAACAAGCTGGGCTCCGAAACATGGAGTGCAGGGAAGGAGTTAATCAGTGCTGGGAATTGCAGGCATTTGCTAGCTGATGTGCGCTGACACACGCTGGAAAGCTAGAAGCTTTCCTCTCTGAGTTGTGCTTTCCACTGTTTGTTTGTATAGCCTTTTGGTAATGGTTTTTCTAAAAAAAGTTCTGCTGAACACTTAATTCTTTTTTGGATTCCCTCTACATAGTAGTTCCCTCAGTCTTGGGCTCGCTCATTTATATTCATGGGGCTAAATACCTATTTAATAGCCTGCAGCTCTTGCATGTGTGTGAATGCTCGCCTTTTGTGATGTGAGATGCTCGCATTTCCTAAAATGTGAGATCCTTGCAATGGAAAGAAATGTCCAGCTTGCCCTGTTCTGGATCTTCTGAGGGAGCAGACGTTTTATCCCCAGCTGTGCTTATGTGTTGCTGCAGTGCACAGAGCTGCCGTGCCATCAGGCTCCCTGGGCAAGGCGACAGTGACCGCGTGTAACTTTGCTGCTGGCTTGAGGCAGGCAGGAGGGCTGAAGAAGGGAAAACGCTGAGCCCTTGATTGTGCAAACCTCTTTGCATTGAGCTCAGCAGTTTAATAATAGTTGGCCGGAGCATAAAGTGTCACATGATGGGGAGCACAAGAGGAGTTCCCTGGCTTTGTTTATACTGCTGGACTTGTGAATTCAGTCATTCAGATTAATCCTATCGTGAGCACACAGATCTAAATGTCCTCTAGTGTGCGTCCCGGTTAGCACAGCCCTCAGCCCGTGACTTCTCTGACTTCCCTGCCATCTGGTCCTTGGCTGTGGAGAGGAATTTTTCTTGTATATGCGTCTCCATAGCAACGCGTTTGCAGTTGATATGGAAAGTAAGCAGTTGCCCTAGCAACGGAGTTACTGATGTGGCAGCTCCGCTGCTCGCAGGGAAAGGGCTAAGCTAGTTCAGACGCATTATGTAGGTTTGCTGTAATTATAGCTGCGCCCACTAGTGCTGCTGTAGCTAAGGGTCTGTTGAAATATTTTGCGATAAGCCCCATTTTTTTTCTCCTTGAAGATCTGTATTATTATTATTATCCATGTAGGGATTCCTGCTTTGAACAGAGGCCACTAAGGTTGTGTTTTCAGGGCGTGTGATCAATCTGTGCCTTTTATGAATGCAAACTTTGCTGACAGTTATTATCAAACGTGAGTGGATGCAGGAGAAAGATGCTTGGCATCACTGGCTTCTCTGCAGTTTTTTGGTCTCACTCAGCAGCCCAGCTATGGAAAAGGAAGCTCTCATCCTGTGCCTTGTGCTCTGCTGCCTTTGTTTGCCCGGTCTGTGCAGCTCCGGATATCCCTCCTACAGAGTGGGCTCCTCTTTGTGTCTGCCCTGCTCGTCTGAGGCAGAGAAACGTGCACGTGTTCCGAGCTGGGTGCATGCTAGGGAAATTCAAGATCTTCAGGGTTTGTTTGGTGCTTGTGCTGAGGGATGTCTCAATAAAAATATCTCAATAAAAATGTAATGAAAGTAATGGACATGATATGGGGATGGGAGAAGAAAATTCTTCTCGCTTTATATTGAGGTTATTCTTAGAAGTACATGGATCATAACGGGGTCACAGAGATCCAGCAAGGCTGCTTCTCTGTCTGGAGTGGGCTGTGGGACCCGAGGTCTCCTGAGTTACTGGCATGTGTGGGATGTCCTCATGCCATGTAGCCTGGTCTGTGCCATGGCCAGGGAGCTGGTGGGACCTCACGTGCAGCATGGGAACTTCTGAGAAGACCCTGCAGCCAGCATGCTTCCTCTGAGGTGATACTGCCTGGGCTTTTGACAGGTAAAGCCCTGCAGGAAGATAAGAGATAACTGGTGTGAGAAGCAAGGCAGTCTGATTGCTCTTTATTATGAGATCTCTTAATCCAATCTGCATACACACGAAGGTGGTAGACGTGGCAGTATCCCCCCTCTGCTAACTTCAGGAGGATGTCCTTTGAAAGCTGTGTGGCCCTCTGGGTACGGAAACAATCTCCTTCAGTTCTAATACAGTTACCACCTCTCCTGACCCATATCACACAAGCATCAGAATTGCATTGGGTTTGTAACATCTGGTTGGAACTACGGTGGAAAAACCGTTCAGACTCATGTTAAGGACTTCAAATGATGCTGACGCCTTTAATAAAATGATGTCCTAAATGAGCAGATCCAATTGTTAATGTCCCAGATTGTTAAAAGAAAAGTGTGGGTTTTTTAAATTAGAATTTGTTGTGCTTAACCCCAGATCAATTTTCTTATATCTCAGTCTGTCATATATGTGCTCTCAGCCACCAGAAATGTTCCCCTCAAATTATTTTTTGAAGCAAACAGAGTCATCTCCTTCTAGAGAAATCATAGCAGTTTCTAGAAACTTCCTCTAATGCAGAATTTCTGGATACTAGACAGTTTGTGGAGAGCTTTCTTGAACCCTTTCAGCTTTGTTTTTGAAGTGCAAAAGCAAGGAATTATACAGAATATTTAAATAATAGATTTCCTAAAGCTCTGCATGGAAATACTCTTCCACTTAGCTGGCTTCCAGCTGGTTGACTACATCATTGCTTATTCTTTGCAGTAGAGACTGCG